CTCTAGACATATGGTCCCCATGACATTAAAACTTATGAATTTTTTATTTCTGGAATTTTCTATGTGATATTTTCCGACTGTGATTGACCACAGGTAACTGAAACCGTGAAAAGTGAAAAATTGTGGGTAAGAAGGGACTCCTGCACCTTTCTGAGATGAATTCCTACTCTTCACGAGGACCAACTTTCTGGGGCATAATCAGATGTTTCCCTTGTTCTTACTCTTTATGATATTTGTGAACTCCAATCAGTACTCAGACAGAGGGCAAAGGCCCCCAAATGTTTGCTCCATTAAACGAGACCTGAGGAGGCGTTGTTCATTTAAGCACATTGCTTCTTAAAAGAGAACAAAGCAAAGAGCTTGCACCCTCCCCAACTACCTTAGGACAAAGATTTTTGTGTTCTCTCCTTAATATTACAACTTGGAAGCTGCCATCAAAAAAGAAAAAAAAAAAAAAAAGGTCAAAATGATTGAACAAAGACTTTCACTCAGGCCTGATCCTGAACTTCACTAAAGCAAACAGAACGGAAACCAAAAAAAGCTCCCAGCATGTCAGAAGAGACAACTGTCACTTTTCAGCCTGGTATGCAAACCCATTCTGGTGTTGGAGAATCCTCCACTATGTAAGACACAGGGAAACATAGGGTCCCTCCTCCCCACTACAAAGTCCAATAGTGCTGGTGACCTGGTCCCCCAGGGACAGAGGCCTAATTTTAGTCAGCAAGAGGCTCTAGCCTGACTCTGGAGCAAGAGGTCCAGAGAAGCCAGGATACCTGAGTCCAATGTCTAGGGTTCTGAATTCTTCTTGGGGCTGGACCCAGTCTGTGATCCTGACCTCCCACATTTCTTGACCCCTCTTCGTGTCCCCCGTCTGGTTCTCTGGCAATTCTGAGGGCTCCCAGGTATCCTTCTAACCTATTCTGATTCTGCTCAAGCAAGACAGAGGGGATCTCTCCTCTTGTACCTAAGATCTCATATGGTTCTACTCCCGTGGCCACAATCACTTAGTTATCTGTGGACTTACATGTTTATCATACCATCTGCTACTGGGAAAATACAAAGAAAATAGCAAGAATTCATGTCAGTTTCTAATACAGACTGAAAAGGGAATTTGAGATGGTGTCTTACACTACTTATTAGAACAAAAATTCTATAGTACAAGACTACAAGAGTTTGCATTGGTGGAATTCCTGGCCGCAGCTGTTGGTCGCTCTTCTTAAAAATATAGGGTACTTCCTGAGTCTCAGTAGCCAATTCAGGAGTTAGAGAAGTCCCTTCCCCAAATCTTTTGATGCCTTTTTAATGACTGTATGATTAGAGCTAAACATTTTTGAAACCCATCCTTATTTTCATTCTGTAGGACAGCTGTCTCCTTCTCTAGGACCCCCAGTGGGTGCCTGAAACTGTGGATAGGATTGAACCCTATATATACTATTTCTTTCCTATATATACCTATGAAAAAGTTTAATTTATAAATCAGGCTCAGTAAAATGAAAACAATAAAATAGAATTATAACAATATAGTATAACAAAAAATATTTAAAACTTATGAATTATTTATTTCTGGAATTTTCTATGTGATATTTTCAGATTGTGATTGACCACAGGTAACTGAAACTGTGGAAAGTAAAAAATTGTGAATAACAAGGGACTCCTGCACCTTTCTGAGATGAATTCCTATTCTTCACGAGGACCAACTTGCTGGGGCATAATCAGCTATGTTTCCCGTGTTCTTAATCTTTATGATATTTATGAACCCCAACCAGTACCTTTTTCCCTTTTCCCTCAGACCTGTAACTCATTCCCTGTCATTTGGATCTTCAATGTCCCCTGAGAAACTCATGTTAGGTAAATACAGGAATGTTCAAGGTGAAATGATTTGATTATGAGAGGTGTAACCTCATCAGTGGATTAATCCACTTGATGGATTAATCATTTGAATGAACTAGTGGGTAGTAACTGTAGGCAGGTGGGGTGTGGCTGGAGGGAGGTCACTGGGGATGCGGCCTGGACTACGTCTGTCCATGGCCCCTTTCTCACCCCCATCCCTCCCTCCTTTCTCTTTCTTTCTCTGCTTCCTGGCTGCCATGGGCTGAGCAACTTCCCTCCACCATGCCCTTCTGCCATGACATTCTGCCTCACCGAGTTCTAGAGCAATGGAGTGGACCCACCATGGACTGAACCTCTGAAGCCATAAGCCCCCAATAATCTTTTCTTCCTCTAAGTTGTTCTTGTCAGGTATTCTGGTCACAGTGACAAAATGCTGGCTACAAAATTCCCTGAAAAGTCAAGTCAGGTTGGGTTGAATATGACATTCAATGAATTATTGGCACCTAACCACCAGTAGTCACAAAGGTCTCATCTGGAATTCTCAGGTTTGGGTCTATATGAACCAGATGAACTTGCTGTGGTTGGGCCTGGACACGTGCTAACATGCTACCTGGGAAGTACCCTGGATATATATATATATATTTATAAATAAAGCAAACGTCTAAAAATATGACATGTTTCTAGTTAGTTACCCAAAGGTAAAGCACTACATGTACCATGGTATTTTTTATTTAAAAAAAAAAATAAAGGACCCAAGAATTACAGGAAAATTATTTGGTTTTCCCATCAGTTAAATTTACCACCATGTATACTTTTTTGTAATAAAAAAATCGGATTGTTTTCCTCTTCTCACCCACACCCTGCTCGATACCATACACAAATACATTTCCTGTTCATTCCAAGGCCTTAACAATTTGGTGCCTAATCTGCAATCTTGTGAAGCTTTGTCTGATTTGAATCTGGTCGCTAGCCTCTGTGGAAATTCCCCTTCGGATGGTTGGCTGGCTGGCTGACAGAGAGCCAGGCATTCAGAAGAGTCACGCAGGGAAGAACGTGCTTGTTCTAAAAATGAAAGCCTTACTACTTAGAAATGATTTCTTTTTTTTTTCCTGCTAGGAAAGTTGAGAACAGATTGCAGAACTTCACCTTAGCTCGCAGACTGAAAAGGCATTTATGCAAAGGAGGGAGAAGGGGGCATTATGGGATTCCCGGGTGTATTCATTGTTTCTCGGGAGCACAGAGGGAAAAAAAAATAATCAGCTTCTTCCCCAGAACTCTTGATCCTAAAAATATCACCACGGTGCTCAAAATGGAACAGAAACTGATGGAAGTGGTATTTTGGAGGAAGATAGATGACTCAGAATCCTACAGCGGGATGTTAAGCAATGCTTTCCTGGATCCCACAGCTTAGTCCTCTATTAGAAGGCAACGTGCCCAGTGATTTTCATTCAGCTAGCAAAGAATTTCACCTGTAGGAAACCTATTAGTTATTTCTATTGGCACTTTTTTTGGTGGGGGGGGGGGGTACCAGGGATTGAACTCAGGGGCTGAGCCACATCCCGGACCTATTTTGTATTTTATTTAGAGATAGGGTCTCACTGAGTTGCTTAGTGCCTCATTGCTGAGGCAGGCTTTGAATTCCTCCTGCCTCAGCCTCCAGAGCTGCTGGGATTTCAGGCCTGCACCCTGTGCCTGGCTTCCATTGGCTCTTGTTAACACAATTAAGAACATTTTAAATCTCTGATGTTGGGCATGTTATTTCATTCTATAAGACTTTTTAACCAGAGCTATTGCAACAAGCAGAGAACCACTGATTGCCTTAACTTCACATGGGATGGTCCCCATGGACAGTTAAACAGCCAGAAGGTAGGAGGAAAAGACAAAAAGCCAACTCCAAGCGACTGACCTGCCAGAAGAACTGATGCTATGGGGTGAAGGTCTTGGAAGGCCACTCTGTTCTGTTTCTATTAGTAAAACTAGTGCCTGGGCAACGTCCCCATGTGAATGAAGGAGCACATGTCTACCAATGGCCCTGCATTCCTGTACTGAGCGTGGAGTACCTGTCATGCAGCACTGTTGCACCTCACCTGCCCGGGTGTCCCCGCTCATTCCAGGTTCCCTGACATTCTCCTCTCTTACTCACCGACCACAGGAACAGAACTAAGATTTTACTGAAATCTCCAAGGGTTTATTTTCTCGTAGGAATCCCTTCCAGCCAGGGTCTTAAAAGCATGAACTTTGGTTTGCTCTGGATCCTGATATTTTAACATGTGGAGTCTCCAATGTTATCAGCAAATAAGTCAATAATCTTTTTGTGGTGTGTATATGTGTACGTGCCTCATATTTATGAATTTATCAATTTTGTAAATTTGCCATAGCAACACTGACTCTTCCCAGAGAAGGCAAGTCTCTCTCTCAAGAAGGTATATTCCAGGGAACGGGATGAAAAACAGAAGTGCCCTGGCAAAGCTGCTTGTGGCTGCTGCCTCCCCTTCCTATTCCCCTTAGGATCTGTGTGTGGGGGTCAAACAACAGGTGAGTCCCCCTGTCTAGGAACACGAATAAAAGCAGAATTCCAAGGCCATCGTCTTCTTCCAGCCTCTCCCTCACCCCGACATCTAAGCCTCGAGGTCTGCTGCACCCTGCCTTGTCCCTGATGCCTGTGTGCCAGTTGCACCTTCTGGAGGACAAGGGGACAGGCAGAGTGTGAAAGAGAAGGTTCCAGGTCTTGGCAACGTGGATGTGACTTCTTCAAGTTAACCAAACAGCTTGTTTTTAAGACACTCAGTGTTTGTCCATGGGGCAATGTGATTGGGAAGGCAGATGAGATTTTGGGGAAATGTCTAAGACACATAAAAATAGTCCTGGCTTCTGGGTGGAAATCCAGGCCCCACCAAGGGCACTTCCAGACTATATTTCCTTTGGCCAATCATAGCAGGAAACTTTCACATAACAATGGTGTCCTAAAGAACATGCTAGCACAATAAGAACAAGCCATAGCTCTCCACGGGAGCCTGGAGGCCAAGGCAGGCATGGTCCTGGGTCTACCACAAACCCGACACCTTGGCTCAGAGACTTTCTTCTCCTTCACGTTCCAGCTCCGGGTCTCCAATCACCCAGCTCCCCTGGCCCTCTGAGGAGGGCTCTCACTGGGGAGGTGGTACACTCACCGTCATCTCTTCTGGGTTCCCATTAGCCACTTCCACCACCCTTAGGGCGGGATCCACCTTCACCTTGGCTCGAGCCATGAACTGGATGACAGATGAACTGTCCTGTGGAGGAAACAACAGCTCACCGTAAGATTTTCCAATGACAATGACAAATGATTTTTCCTTGAGAGGGACTGGGCAGAACTGAAATTCCAAGATTCCTTGTAGACCAGACAAGGTTTTTTTTTTTTTTCCACTGAACTAAAAACTTCCCCATCCTGGGAATCCACATAAATGTATACTTCCAAAGTTTCTCTTGAGAATTTTTTTTTTTTTCCGGATGGTGGTAGATGCAGAAAAATGACAGTGTTTGCCAGTAATCAACACAGGCAAACTTGTGTGCTGTGGTTTCCAAGTGGTAAGACCCAGATATGTGGATGTTGATATTGATGGATTCACAAAGAGCTGAGGATAAATGAAGCTGTTTGTGTACAGCAAGCCCATGCCTGGCATTCCACTGAAGCCATCTGATTCCTATTTTATAGAATCTTCCTGCCCTGACCACAGCCCTCAAGCGCTTCTTTATAGGAGTTTCTTTTAACTCTTTGCTTGCCCTTAAATGAAGCTGTTTTGGGGACAAAGCCATTAGACATTAAAAAGAGGGCATCTGATGGAGAGATTCAGAAGGGAGACACATCTAGCTTATAAATTAGGCCTACTAGAAAGGGAACCAGGGGCAGGGGCCACATCTGAGACTCGGGAATTACCTGCTAGCAGAAACAGAAGCCTTTCATGGGCTCAGATTCAAAGCCACCAATCCAGACAACCAGAAAATTTTGGCTCCAAAGCAGGGATAGAGAGGGAATTTGGAAAACATCAAGAAGACGCAAAATCATGGCCGAGGAAAGGTCCAGGATCTTGGGGTTAGTGGTACAAATGGTGCTGCATTGACTGTGGAGCCGAGAGGCCCCTGGTTGCCATTGTGGAAATGCAAGGCACAGAACTAGGGTATCTGGCCTCCCCCACTGGGTGGTCTGTGCTCTGCCAGCAAGATGCTTATTGACATGTCCACCATATTTACTCAGCTTGCCTGTCACTCTGGAGGCTGCAATGGTTTGGGGATGTCCCCCCAGAATTCCTGTGTTGGAATTCCCAAAGTCACATATTAGAGATATTTGGAGGTAAGACTTTGGGAGATAATTAGGATTAGATAAGGTCATGAGGGTGGGGTCTCCATGATGACATTAGTGGCTTTATAAGAAGAGACCTGAGCTTGCCCACTTGCTCTCTCTTGCCATGTGATGCCCTTTGTGCCAGTTTATGATGCAGCAAGAAGGCCCTCACCAGATGACAAGCAGATGCCAACACCTTGCTCTTGGACTTCCCAGTCTCCAGAACTATAAATAGGCTTGTACTCTTCATAAGTTACCCCATCTCAGGTATTTTGTGTCAGCAACAGAAGATGGACTAGTCAGAGGCTCTCAGATGCCAGCTTTGACTCACTTCTGGCTAAACCTACAGAGAAACAGGAAAGTGGAGGACTCTTCCTCTAGCCTAGTTCCAAAGGGGCTCTTTTCTCATCTCTGCCCAAGAAACCACAAAGGATTTTAGTTTGTGTACTTTAAATATTGTTATTTTTAAAACAACCACGAAACATATTTCTAATTTTTTACAGACATGTTTTAATTGTGCATAGCAATGGGGTCCAGTGTGATATTTCTATACATGCATATAGTGTAAACTGATCAAATACAACCATTGTACAACCTCTCCTGAAATTAAAAAAAAATCATGTGGGCGCATGCACACACACATACATATGGATATATAAAATACTGGAGATGGAATTCAGGATCATCTGACCTCTGAGCTACAGCTATAGCTTTTTAATTTTATTTTGAGGCAAGGCCTTGCTAAGTTGTGCAGGTGGGCCTTGAGTTTGTAATCCTTCTCCTAAGAGACTGGGATTACAGGTATGCACCAAAACATAAGCATTATGCTTCTGGGAAGCTAGTTGTTCAGAGGATTTGCTCCAGTGAACTACTTTAAGTGGCAAATAATTTTACATGCAAGTAATCTTTTAGCAATTTACTAGTTTTATAAATATGTGGTTTTATGTATCAGGGCAGACTGTATTTACAACCATGGATCATCATTATCAGTTCAGGTATTAATTATGATGATGTTTGGCCAAGTCAAAGGCCAAGCCAATGGGAGCCTGGCAGAGAACAGGTCCCTGGTGGTTACAGAGTCAGTGAAGGAAGCCTCAAAGACTAAAAGAAAATTTTCAAAGAAATCTGAATCCCCTGAAGCTTTAAAAAATCAGACCCTACATTTCAAATAAAAACTTAAGGTCAAAACAATAAAACCTCAAATTCCCTTGTCTAGGGCCAGACCTTAAGGTCAAAAGGAAAATAAACACAACTCTAGGCCCAGGCAAAACCACAAGGCTGGAGCTGTTCTCTGTCCTTAGGGAGGCTGTGACGTCCCTGAAACATCTGGCTCAGCTCCCTGTAGGAGCTGGCGTCAGGGGGACCCACACTTTGCATTTCAAGCTCCCTGAGCAGCCAGGGCCCCATCTGCCTTCCAGGTCAGCTGCATTCTAGGCTCTCCTCTGCACCTGGAATTTCTGCTGAAAGGGCACGTAGAGAATAAACCTCCATGGGTCCACGTTCTCAGCTCTCTTGTCTGGGGCTCCACTGGCCTGAATGACATGGGGACAGCAGTCGGTGAGACATGTTCCTTGGCAAAGGATCATCAGAGGTCACTAGGAGAGAGCTGCAGAAGACCCAGCCTGCAGAGCTGCACACATGACTGAAGGGCAAGTGACAGCCATATGCTATAAGGGTGTGGAAGCATCATGGTGGTTTCTTGCCATCAGTGCTATCGATAGAACTCGGTGGACAGTGGCAAGAGTGAATGGGAAATTCAACTGTCAGCAATGTCATCCGTCCAGAAGACAGACAAAATAGGTAAGTCTACAGAATCACAGGCCCTCCAACCTCAGTTGGGGACCCATGCCAGGAAGGGACACCTGTGACATGGGGCTTCCAGATGATGTTGTGGAAGCCGAGGACGCTAGTGGAGTTCTAGTTCACGCCTGGTCTGTCTCTAACGCTGTCCTTTATAAAGGTTTCACCATGGAAGCACTGTGTGCGAGCCCAACTTCCCCCAAACCAGTTTTCATCCAGAGCAAGCCAGAACCTTACCCAGCTCTCCCTGGGCTTGTGGAGCCTGCAACAACTAAATGTAGGGAGAAAACATTCCCCCTTGCCTGTCTTTGCAGGTCAGCATGTTATTGCTGTGTTTAATTTAAAAATGACCACAGAAGGACTACTGTAAGGATATTCATTTACCCGCTGATTGGCTTATCACACTAAACACATTTAGTCTGCCCAAAGGAAAATAAATAGAATCTTTGCGGCTAACATGCATATTTTGTTTTATCTTCATATGCAATTATTTTTAGAGCTTCTTGTTGGAAGGGATTTCTCATACTCGGCAGCACTTACCTTAAAACAAATCAGAGTAAATTTATATGATTCTTCAAGGGCCACCAATTCACTGATATAAAGATATAGATATAAGATATGTCCCCCCACTCTGCAAAAAAAATTAACTTCTCTGAAACAAGGACCACCAATTCACTGATATATATAGATATAGATAGATATATATCCCCCTGCCCTGCAAAAAAAAAAAAAAAAAAGAGAGAAAGAAAAAACTGGATTTCTCTGAAACAAGTAGTCAGCAAACTACATCTCATGGGTCAAATTTGATCCTCTGCCTGTGTTTGTAAATAAAGTTTTATTAGAATACAGCCATGTCCATTCATTTGAGTATTGTCTGTGGCTGCTTTTGCAATGTGACAGCAGATTCGAGCAGTTGCGAGGGACTATATGGCCTGTAAAGCCTAAAATAGCTCCCACAGGCCCTTTACAGAAAAGGTTTGCCAACCCTTGATCAAAAACATGTTCGCCAGACCAGCAGTACTGGCATCACCTGGGACACTATAAGACTTGCAAAACTCAGATTCTACCCACAAGGAATTAGAAATTTTTTTCCAGGTAATTCTGATGTAAACTAAAGAATGGGGAACAAAATACCTGGGAGGCTTGTTAAAGTCACGATGCTGATTCAGTAAGTCTTAGGGGAGGTATTGGGGGTGGAACCCAGGGGTGCTCTACCACCGAGCCACATCCCTAGCCCTTTTTATTTTTTCTTTTGAGACAGGGTCTTGCTACCAAGGTGCCCAGGCTAGGCCTTGAACTTTCGATCCTCCTGACTCAGCCTCTGGAGCTGCTGGGATTATAGACATGCATCACAGCTCCCAGTTATGATTCTAACAAACTCCCCGATGAAGTTATTGTCCTTACAATACACTTTGAGTAGTGAACATCTGATATTTTCCTCTTGCACCATCTGGAGAATTACTGATGGCACATGCCAAAACAAGTTTTAAAAGGAGCAGCCAGAGTGTCATGAGGAAACAAATTCAAATGCTTTTCAATGAAGCCCATGAGTGCAGGTCCTTAGGACTCACCTTCTTTAATATTTCTGTGTTCAGCAGCATGTAAATGTCTAGAGTGCGACTTTCCTCTTTGGTGAGAGCGCTAAGGTTACAGTGCATTGTTAGGCAAGAAATTCCTGGCTTTTCACAATCCTGAGAAGAAAAAAAATCAGAGAACTGTCAAATGATATAAAAGCAAAGTCAAAGCCACAACCATTTATAGAGCAGCAAGCTCTAGGGCTTCTGTTGTGGTGACTAAGTCAATTCCAGGCAGAGCAAATCAAACAGAAGATTCAGGGCTGAGGGTGTGGCTCAGTGATAAATCGATTGCCTAGCATGTTCGGGGCCCCGGGTTCCATGCCCAGGACTACAAACAAACAAAAAATAATAATGATAAGGATGAAGATGATAATAACGATAACGAATCACAAGGCAATTACTCTTTGTCACCACCAGAGGGCATTCGAGGGATTTCCAGTCTGACACGCACCAGAGCAGGTTTCAAGAGTCAAGCAAGTAGGGAAAAAAGCATGTCCCAAGTTCATCCTACCAAAAAGTTGGATTTCACAAAGAGAATAAATTTTTTTTTTAAGAGAAAGAAATTTCTCCTTTACATATTCTGATAGTATCGATAGGTTGGAACACAGGCGTATTTCCTACATTATGTAATTTCTGCCTGTGCAGTAGCTGGTGTGTGTTTGTGGCAAATTTTTAGTTAGGGGAAATTAGAGGGATTCCAAAGTTATGTGATTCTTGCTCAAGAAAACACAGAAATTATGTAAAAAGAAATAAAGAAATAAAAACACATGAAAAGAAAGGTCAACTCCATTTTCTCTTTTGTATTGAAGGATCATCTGCCTGAAGATGCTTCAGTTGCAGGTGAAATTTATAGTTTGATACAGAGTTGTATCTATCGAGAACACTTGGTGCTTTATCACTACATCTAAGGATTCTAAGGGCTTTTAAAAATAAAAGTACCAGGTGGTGGCACATGCTTGCAATTCCAGGGCTCAGGAGGCTCCGGAGGATCGTGAGTTCAAAGCCAGCCTCAGCAACAGCAAAGCGCTAAGCAATTCAATGAGACTCTGTCTCTGAATAAAATACAAAATAGAGCTAGGGATGTGGCTCAGTGGCTGAATGCCCCTGAGTTCAATCCCTGGTATCAAAAAAAAAAAAAAAAAAAAAAAAAAGAAAAGAAAATGAAAAAGGAAAAATAAAAGTACCATCCTCACTTTGTATGTGAAACAATCCAAACCTTTCAAGTGACCAATAGTTGCACTTCTCCACTGTGGAAGAGAGTGAGGAAGGAAATGATAAATGTGAGATGTGCCAGGATGAAATGAAGAGCTAAAGAAACATAACCAGGATTGGGGCTGTGTGCAGCACGTGCCTAACACATGTGAGGCCCTGGGTTCAATCCCTAGCAAAAGACTAAAGATATAGGGAGAGAAGGAACTGAGAAAGCATTTCGATTCCATCTCTACCACCTTCACTCTTTAAAAATGCAGTAAATAGAACAAATCTCAAGTGTATATCTTGACACATTTTTACATATTTTCATAACTAGAGAATCACCACCCTGAACACAATGTAGAACATTTCTGTCAGCTAAGGGGTGCCTTCACACCCCATCCCATTGGTACTCCTCCAGAGGAGCTCACTGCCCTGACAGGCAGGCCTGCATGCCGGCCTTCTGTGCTTCCTTTATGGTACGGGGGACTGAACCCAGGGATGCTTTACCTACCACTGAGCTACATCCTCAGCCCTTTTTGAGATCGGGTTCCACTCAAGTTGCCCAGGCTGGCCTGTGATGGATCCTCCTGCCATAGCCTTTCAAGTAGCTGGGATTACAGGCATGCACCACTGCACCCAGCTTAATTTTTTTTTTCTATTCCTGAACTTTGTGTATGTGAAATGGTCTAATATATTGGTCCTTTTGTCTTTGGCTTTTTTCATTCAGTAGCATGTCTGTGAGATTTACTTATGCTGTTGTGTGCTGCAGTAGTTTCATGTATTTCATTGGTGTGTGATATTCCAGGGTATGGATATACCACAACTGTTTACTCATTCTCCTATTGATACTTAACTGAATTGTTCTCTGCTTCGGTTATTATAAAATTGCTATTAGCAGTCTTGTCCTAATTGTTCAGAAGATGCATGTACTTATTTCCCTTGGGGATAGACCCAGGAATGGCAATATATAGCTGGGTCACAGAATGTGTATGTGTGTGTGTGTGGTTTTCCTAAGTGGTTGCACAAGAACAATTACTCTTGTTTAGATTCAGACTAGTTGGAGAAACATTTTACTTTGTGCTTGGAGGTTGAAAAGGTTCTCCCTTTGCCAGGCAATGGAATTTGGAATATAAATTCAACATTAGGATTGAAACCTCAGGCTTGTGATTTTATAAGTCGATTGATGAGAAGCAGACTTGGGAAATAACAAATTCCAAAGAGAAAACTGGCCTCTCATCTCAGTCTTGCCTTCTGAGGAGGACCACCCATGTTACCCTAGCCACTGGGCAAATCCTTACCAAGACTTTTCTTCCAGACTTTGTGAAAAAAGCAAATATTGTGTGGAAGATATTTTCTTGTTCTTGAGGGATGATGCAGGGGGTTGGGTTTTTCTGGAAAGAGCAGTTTCCTTTCTCTCGACCAACCTGAAAATGGAAAGAGGTTTGTCAGTATGGCTGATCCCAACCATAGGCCATGTTCCTGGAGTCCCGTGTCATGAAGAAAGTACCAATTGAGTTGTTTTTTTTTTCCTCCTTGTTCATTCTCTAGTGGACAGGAATGGCTAAAAAGCCTTTTATTTTAAAGATGAGGGTCTTTTGTTGTATTGCCCAGATTGGCCTGGAACTCCTGGGTTCGAGTGATCCTCTGACTCAGCCTCCTGCATAGCTGGAAGGTAGCTCACCCTGGGAATGCAGGTGCACACCACTCCACCTGGCTCTGGCTGAAAAGGCTTTAGGGCAGAAGCTAAAGCATCAATAGGGCCAAATAATAGAAAATGTGGATCTTACGTCCCTAAATCATTGAGATGAGATGGCACACAACATGTGAATGAGATGTGACTAGGAAACAGTAAGACTTGGAACACAATAAACTTCTTATGCTTCATGATTTCCAAAGTACATTTACAAGCATCCTTGCAACAATTCTGTTAGGCACTGATATTAGAGTAGATGAGGAAAAAGAAACTTAAGTCACTTGCCAACACACATACAGTCAAGAGCCCAGGTCTAGAACTCAGGTCCTCTGAGACCTTAAGATCCATAAGAGGACCTTTGCCAGAAGATAGTCCTCTGCTAGAAGTCTTCCTAGAGCCCTCAGGGTGCTAGGAGGAGCCCTTCTGGGGAGGGAGAAAGTGTACTAACGCTGCTCTGTGCCCTATCTCTGCTCCAACTAGAGTATCAGCCACATATGATGCCACTTAAAATCAGAGTTCTGATTAAAAAAAAAAAAAAAGCTGGACAGACATTGCACTGAGCCAGACAGGGACTTCAACATTCGGTGAGCTCTTGGTGAGTCATCTGATTTTATTTCTGACAGCCATGGCAATGGTGCTGAGCAACAGCATTATGAAAAAACAAAACACACCCAAACAGTGGTGTGCAGCCTTTCAGGTGGAGTTCTAGAAGAACAGCGCCTTTTGACATCCACCTGGAGGAACCGTTGAATGAGGTCTTCTTTATCCATCACCATATACCCTGGTGATAGCTAAGACTGAACAGGATGTAAGGCCAGACCAGAATGTTAGTAATTAGTAATCCATAATTTAGGACTGTGTTTACAATCCCCTTGCTAACTAGAATCATCTGTTTAAACTTTCCTATCTTTGATGCCTGTGAATAAAATATAGTGTGTTTGAACTTTCTCAAGAATGTTTCAACTTCCCATTTGTGCTAGGGTGCAGGGTTTAAAGTTTTTACATAAAGAAACTTCCAACGTAAGAATGATAATCTTTTAATAATGCACTATAAAACGAGACCACCAAAATTCGCTTAATTAATCTCTGCTTTATCTCTGAACACATTCCAAAATTTACTATACATGTCTGAAAATAAACAAAATGAAGTTTTATTTCCTCAAGATTAACTATGAGAAAAATGAACGTTGCCTTTGAAAAATGTCTCGTCGTTTGGGACCCTCTTTGTCCTTTAAAAGTGCTCACAACTTGGGATTCTTTCAATTATTTTATTTGAAATGCAAAATTTGGGGTATATATATCAGCCAGGAATCTCAGGACTCAATCTTAACACTAGTTTGGGATGATTTTAGAAGTTACTAGAGGAAATAATGAAAAGGAGGCACTGAAGTTTAATGCATTTTTGATGATTATTTCATGGATCCAATTGTTTAAAGTTATGATAAATATTTTAAAGTTCATTTTAGAAAGCAATACACATGTTGTTACTGGGGTAAACATCATGAATATTTGCTTATAAGACAAATGAGAAAAACCACCACTGTGGGGTAAATGAATACTTGTGTGTTGCAATGAAATTTCAGACGTGAACTCAAAAAATTCTGCATTTCAAATAAGATCAAAGATGATATATTCTGGAAAACTTGTCTTAAAAAAGTGGCCTAGCAACAGTGCTCTCAAAGGATGTACATTTGAATAAAAGTATTTGTGAGATGTGAGAAAATGGCCAGATTATTAAAAACGAATGCTACTCTTCTACGATTTTGAGTGCACAACTACATAATTAAATATTATAAGTAGTTGACTATTCCTTTTTCGAACACTTTCAACTGAAATAAAATTTAGATTCCCTCTAATGCACAGATTGTAAGTGCAGTTTGATGAACTTTGACAAATGAGATCACCCATTAACCCCCCCCCCCACACACACACACCCACCCATGTAAGTACGGAACATGTCCACGACTCCAGAAAGTTCCCACTGGCCCCTTTCCAGACTCTTATCCAAAAGGCAACCACGCTTCTGATTGTTATTAAGTTAAGGGAAAAAAAGGTAATGTTCCCTTTTCGAGGAAGGGAGAGCGTTGTGATACTTGGGGGTGACACTCTGTTCAGGCACATGCAGTACCTGCTGGATGGAAAGCATTTGTCACAGGGCACTTAAAAGTTGGGAAGTGCATGCTCTGGCTCTTAAGCCCCATCCTCTTCCACTCTGAAGCATATGGGGCTCCACTTTCCCTGTTTGACCTCTGGAAGATGGTCTTCCGCAACCCTGTGAAGATCACAAGGCCTGGCCACCCAATCCATTTGGTCTGGGGTGAGTCAGACAGAACTTTACAGGATGTGTGCGTCCTTAATTGAAATCAGAGGTGGGGCAGAGTTCCACCTTGCTCTACAAACTGGTGCTTTGGGTTTCTAGGCAGAGAGAGGAAGCAGAGCCCCAGCCTGGCCAGCTTCACTCATGTGCTTTGGGTGTGCAGAGCTGGCTCTGCCATCTGTCCAGATAGCCAGCAGAGAAGGACAGAGAGCTGGGAGTGGCAGGGGTGGGGGTGGACTAAACCCAGCATCAACCTGAAGAGACAGAGACAGGCTCCAAGTTTACTTTTCCTCTTCCACGGGGAGTTTCGATGGGGGAGGAGTGGCTGTCAAGAGGGAAGTGACCATAAGGTGATGTGATTCCACATGACAATCTGCCCCTGGTGGAATGGAGCCTTGGCCAGTTGTGCTCCCGACTGTGGTTACACAGGAATCATTTTAATCGGGGAAACCCCCCCCCCCCCACTTCTGGCAGGTTCAGGGTGGTCCCGTTTCACAGGAAGACTGAAGGCTGTTGGGTATTGTATGGGTGTTATTCAGACTGAAACTCAGTCCTTGACCAGGGTCATCGATGGGAGGCACTCTTCTGTGTGCCGGACAGATCACGTGACAGCCAAGATGCTGACAGCTAGCACCTGTCCAGCCCTTCCTTTCTGCGTCCTGGCTCTGGATTGCTTTCTACACATGCACATTCAGTCCTCAAAACCACCCCGAAGCAGGGGCCTTCATCATGCTGGCTTCCCGTTGTGGAAACTGGGAGGAAGGAGAGGCCAGGTGAGCAGCAGAGGTCTTGCAGCCAGCAGGCTGCAGAGTCCCGCTGGGACACACACCATCCAGCTCTGGACCTGCCTATAACCACCCTCCTGCACTGCCTCTTAGGTCAGAGACTGAGAACAGGGCTGCTGATGGGGTCAGGGAAGAGCGATGGGGGAAGGAAACCACCTCTTCCCGTTCTTACCCAGGTCAAAGGAACTATCAGCTGAGAAACCAGGAAACACTAGAGTCCTCCATTCTGGCACATTTCTCCCACTGTGTCCCCCCCCCCCCCCCCCCCCCCCCCCCCAAAAAAAAAAAAGAGAAAAAAAAGACTTCTACCCAGACCATGGGAGGTAACAGCGCCTGCAGGCTGGGAGGCCAGGCTGCTCTATCGCTGGAAGTCGAACAGAGCACCCTGGAATGTTGTTTCTGGAAGGCCGCTCGGAGATCATGCAGTCCCATGGCCTCAGCTGACAGATAAGGAACCAGAGGCCAGAGTCCAGTGACTTGTCCAAGGTCACGTGGTTGGCTGTGAGCCTCATCCGGCACCCAGTGGTGGAATTCTTTGGTGAACACTCAAGGGTCCCAGGTTGCAGCCCAGCTGTGCCGACTCAGGTTAGGGCCTCACATTCCTTGTCTATAATATTAGGACGGTGGCCTACATGGTTGTCCTCAGATGCTAACTGCACACTCTGATGACCATCTGTGCGTTTCATTTTCCTTAGAGCACGGGGTCACTTCATCTCACATCCCATACATAAAAACAAATGCTGACTACTCTCCCTACAACCTGGTTTTAAGCAAACTTGGCTCAAAGTCAAATGAAAGTAATGCTTTCTTCCCATATTCCAAATAATCCAAGCGCCACCGGGCTAGAGTCCACAGCTTCATTTCCTTGGTGGGCCGAGAACATGGTGGCATTGCCCCCACGGTCATCTCGGCTGGCTGACTTCTCAAGTATTTTCCAGATTGTTTGAAAGTCCAAATGCTTCCCATGGTATGGCTGCTTATCTTGCAGGACCCCTGGGAGCTGGAAGAGGCCTGTGGCTATTGGAATTTGAACAAAAGAACCTAACTGAGCATACAAATGAGGACAAGAGGACACAGGACCCAGGGACAAGGCTGAATTCTGCCAAGGCAGTTATTAAGGGTTTTCTGTTGGTTATCTGTCCTCCCCTCACCCCAACCCCAAAGAAAACATTGTGCAAGCTGAAACCAAGAGATGGTGGTGATTTGGGAAATTGTCAGGAGCCCTGGTTATGGGAGCCCAAGGAGAATTATGGACATCATGTGGTGGCAGAGTCTGGGTCAGCCTTGGTCAGGGGAATCTTTGTGGCCAGAAGCTGCCAAAGTGTCAGGCCTATTTGCTCCAGGCCTGACAGGATGAAGTGCTGTTTGCTCCATGTGCTCTTACAAGATCCGGCTTCCCAAAATACCAGCTTCGAAGCATGAACTGGGCTTGGGATGATGCCGCAAAGTCTCTCTTTTGCCTTTTTTTTTTTTTTTGGTGGGGGCAGGGAATTGTACTCAGGGGCACTTGACCACTGAGCCACATCCCCAGCCCTATTTATTTCATTTAGAGACAGGGTCTCACTGAGTTGCTTAGCACCTCATCATTGCTGAGGCTGGCTTCGAACTTGCAATCCTCCTGCGCCTCTG